CACACTTAATCTTCATGCTCGCTGACTGACTTACGACTAACTCCATTATAATAGCAAAATTCGAGCGATACGTTGTACACGCACGTTGCTAAAACCTGACGATGTGACCAAAGAACGTCTGATTTGTCCACCCGTTAATCTCTCTATCGACACGACGGAAAATGCGTACGACGGCGCGTTTCGGGTCATCCACGGGGATCATCAAGGGACCTCCACTCGCACTCAATCCAGCACGCTGGAAGGTGATAGACCACCGTGAGCGTGGAACTGTAACCCAATAACCGCTGCCAGTGGCGCTCAATCGGTGATTGATTCGTCGAGAGCGGCGGGATCTCGAAGGGCTTCCATCGCCGATGCTGCGGTTACGGGAAAATGTTCGCCAATTGGAGCCGTAATCCAATAATCCGCTATCGGTGGCTCTCTCAATCGGCGATCGGGCGCAGCCAGTGTTCCGTGGAGCTCGGCCATTTTGCAGCGGGGGGAGGGGAGGAAAAAAATGTTCTATACTTTCCGCTTTTGAGTCGCGAATAAAAATCGCTCTCCTCTCGATCGTAGGCGCGGAAAATCGGAACGATTCTCACCGGTCTCGCTCTCGTCCGCCGTCCTCCATTTTCTGGAGACCGTGCCCCGCTTAATCGGCGCTACACTAATCGGAGATTATTATCGATTACTCTACCTCGCAATTACCGTACCGTTATAATCGATAATTCGACCTGTTACTCCCCTCGTTTAAACGTGTTCACCGCGGTTTTTCTCTTGCCACAACTCCTCTGTCCCCCGCAAAAATGTTTGTCCCGACGTTCGTTGGATGAGAATAACGGTTACCGATTGTGCGCCCGATCGGCGCGATACTCGATTAGTCGGCCGCGGGTATCGGCTTTCCCGATAACGAACGCCACGCGGTCGTTCAATTCGCACGCGTCTGTTCAATCGAAATGTTGGCGGAATCGACTAGCGGCCTCCGGAGTGGCCTCTGGAGAAATATCGCGAGTAACGCGGACGGACGACGCGGAATCTCTCACGATATTCCTGGACCGTGCGCGAGGAAGGAAGGAGAAAAGAAAAAGTGGGAATCTAACGTCGTTTCAAACGCTGCTTGAACCTCGACCTTGAGCCTGGTGCATCACCGGATAAAAATGATGATGCGTATGCATTCCGTTTTCCGGCGACGTCGGCTCTTTTGCGGGCCCGTCGGGTTCGCACGTACCCCGGGACATTCCCGGAGCGCGGACGGCCAGTATTTTACGCGTTACATTCCGAATACCCGGGATGATATGACGTACGCGCCTCGAGCGTTTAAAATCCTAAACGCGCGCCATCGCCGCGGACACAGAGGAGAGGAGGGGAAAATTGAGAAGCGGGCGATTAGAGGCCTCTCCTCCCGAGGAAACCTGAATACTCCGGGCGCTTTTGCCGGCTGAACGGGGACCAAAGGTTGCGAGTTGCCTTTCAGCTCAGCGTCCGCCGCGATCGAGGCGGAATGTCGGGACAATATCGCGCCGCGCGTTTTCCCCGCGTGCGCTTTACGTTTAGGAAAGTCCGCGCGGCGCGGACGGGACCCGCCGGCGGAATTTCAATTTCGTCACGCACCGTCCGTGGCGATTTCGAAGCGTGCGGTAAATAAAACCTTCGGGTTTCCGCCTCGCCTCCTCCTGCGTCGCAATGAAAGGGAAAGCGCACCCTTTCTTGTGTACCTTTTCGGAGGAGATTGCAGAGTTTCCGAAATTGAAGTCCTTTCAATCGTTGAGATTTTAAAATGAAACTTTACGACTTGTACGAAACTCGTGCTAAAAGCTTGTGTAAAAAAAATCAGCTACCGAAAGAATAAATCGAAGCAACGTTACTCAAAGTCACTGCATACACAGAAAAGTCGTTCACTTTCCACTTCTCTAATTATTTTACAACTTTTTCGATCAGTTGAAAGCTGATTTTTTTCCTTAACTCGAGAGAGAGAGAATAAAATAAAATTAAAATTCTATTAAATCAAACTGCATTCAAAATTAACCGAAGAATATAATTTTGTGATTCAGTTCATTTCCCCGAAATATAATTCCCGAGATAATGCTTTTGCTCATTCGCATAAACTATTGGTTATTTTCGTTACCTTTGCTAAAAATAAATCGAATCTAAAGTGGTTGGAAATTTCTTAAGCCTTGTGTTCGCGGTCCAAGAACTGTGGTACAAGTTCTAGTTCCGAGATATGTGTGTAGCCAATCGACTTGCATCCTTTACGAAAAAGCTGCAAGCTAATTGGCTACACATTTCTCGAGACTAGAACTTACGATTAGACAACAGTTCTTGGATCGTGGGTACAAGGCCTGTGTCCATGATGCTGGAACTTGGCCACAGTGTTTGGATCGTGGACACGAGGCTTTATACACGTAATAATCATTAAATATGCGTTATCTCTCCTAGACCTACCAACCCACATCTAAAAAAGTCTACGTATATTTTTTCGTAAATATGGAACTGACGTGTGACAACATGACATTTTCTGTAATAATCGCGAACTGTCTGGCAAATAGGACACTGTATTCCAGGAGAGCCATTAGTTGGCTTCTCGGCAACATCCGGAATATTGTGCCGTCAAAAAATAATCGAGCCAGTTCCCTCTCAGGGAGGAAGAAATCATTGCCGGAGTGATTTCTCGCCTCGTCGACTGTAAAAATGCGCCGCGAACGGAGAGCAGCCTTTTTCTCGCCTCCCTCTGCCTCCTCGTCGCGGTCGATTCGCGATGTTAAATCGTCTCGTATCGCGATAACGCGATCGCGCCTAGGGGTCACGGGGAGGAACGGAGAAACAAAGAGAGAAAGAGAATTCAGGCATTCGGCCGCGTCTAGGCAGCCAGGCAGGAGCGTCCGTCCCTATATAGGGTGGACGACCCCTTTGTTCGAATGGTCTCCCCCTCCCTTTCCGCCGCAGCCGGTTCTCCCTTCTAGACCATCCGATACGCCGGCTCTTCCTCCTCCGCCCCCTTTTAACATCTACACCCCCTAACTAACGCGCGTTGTGCACGAATGGGTCACGAGACGCACAATGGTGGGGTCCGAAATTCGATAGCGCAATAGCGCTGCTTCTAACATGGGGTACCGGATGGTGATCGTTAAACATCCCCCTTTGTAAACACATAGCTGGGAAGTCGCCCGGGAATATCGTCGCGACTCTTATCCGGAAGCGCGAATCGCTCTATCTGACAAATTGAATTTTCCTTCTCGAGGACGATAAAGATTTTCTCGCTGTGGGGATTCGTCATAGAGAAAGGTCCCGTTGGGAGTGATTTCGTCCGTTCGTCATTAATCTCTCCTTCCTTTGGTTCACAGTCAACGCGGGAGGCTTGGACTTCACCACCGTGCCGCGGGATGTGGTGGTGGAACAGGGAGGTCCTGCGAGGCTGGACTGCGAGGCGCAGAGCGTCTTTGGAACGCCGAGTATACATTGGCGAACGGACGACGGTCAGCCGATCACGTTTATCGGGGACAGTTATCGGTAATACGCGAGATGCGATCTCTCTTATGTTCATCTCTATCAATGTAAATTAACTGTAATCTCGGCTTAAGTTTCGTTTTATCTTTTTTTTTTCTTCTAAGAATTGAAAGAAGATAAAAAATACATTAAAGTTAATCTGCATTGATAAAAACGATTAAAAGAGACTCCCCCAACAACGCCCCTGCCCACCGTTCGGACTCTGACTTTGAACGATCCCCGATTCTGTTTTTGTAGATCACAGCTAGCGAACGGGTCCTTGTACATAAATAGCGTGTACGCTGCTAGTGCAGAATTAACCGGAAGTTATCAGTGCTTAGCCTCCATAGACAATGTCGGATCGATTGTCTCTCGGGCAGCCACAATCAAACTAGCAAGTTAGTATCCAAGTCCTTCGGAACCTAGCGTGCGACACGTGCTTGAACCGAGTGCTTGCTACGAGAGAGATCACGCTTGATACCACTTTGATGTGCAAACGATCACTTTGTTCGGAGCGTTGAAGATGACTCTTTGAGTTTTTAACAGTCTCGAGATATGATCGTGATTCAAGGAACACTAAGAAAAATCTGTTCACACTAGGTCGTTCTTAAATATTAATTTTCTGCCACAATTTTTGTCTCGCTCAACTTCTTGAAACTATTTATAATGCTCGACTTTTAAAGAGTCGTAGCTGGTAAACGATAAATGATAGTAAGCCCATTTTTCTTTAGAAATCTTCTTAAAGATTCACAGTTTTATAAAACATTTATAAACTCGTTTGTTGTTTTGCAAGCCTGCATAAATGCGGGGCAGAGAGATGTGCGCAGCTCTGCCGAGTCGAAAATATCCGAGTTTAAATCTGAACGAAAATTGATTTTCATTCGATCGCCGTCTCTCGGAAGACAATGGCAAGGGAGCATTTTTGCTCAGGATACTCCTTTACAGAGTCGAAAGGTTCCATATATTTGACGCAGATATAGCTGACAAAAAAGAAGAAAAGAAAACACTTTGACATGATGTATATTCGCTGATATACATATATCACTAAATATGATATCAACGTGAGAAATAAGTACTTGTGAAGACTTATAAATATTATATTTGTATTTATTTATTTATTTATTTCTGTTGAGAGAAAACTTCGATTTTTTAAAACAAGGTTTCGAACATGTTTTGAAGCCTTCTCTCTTTCGATATCAAAAACAAAATCGAAGTGCAATTGAAGCATTGAACAAAAAAAATTGTAAAAGCTCGCGCAGATCCGCTTTCGCGAATCACGTCGGATTTTCTATCACTTGTTTTACAGATACGAGTTTTTTTTTAAACTACACAATTTGAAAAACGTGAAAAAGTTGTCATTTGATATTGTAAACTTGATATTATATCATTAACTAAATATTACTGAATTATTATTACAATTTTTATATTTAGTATTAAAAGTTAATAGCGTGTATCTTAAAAAATCTAGCGAATATCTCGATAAATATAGAGTGGTAATCTTAGAATTCCTTGAACCACAATATATTCTAAATGATTAAAGACAGAGAGAACAAGGAATAATCCTCTACTCTGAAAAAGTGATCGTTCACTTCCGGTGGCGCTTATACGATAAATGTAACGTTGACTTTCTTTGAAGGCCTTCCCGGTTTCGAAAGAGAACCTCAGGACACCATGGTGTATCCGGGACAAATTGCATATTTGAGTTGTGCGCTACCTGCTTCTTCGAGTTTGTTAAAGATACAATGGTTAAAGGACGAACATCCTTTAGTGCTCGATAAAAGTCGTATGACAATTCTGCCGTCAGGTACGACAAACGTCTTCTAATTTAGGATATTTTTGCGCGTTAATTATCGTCATTCATGGTTTATCCTTCACCCACAGGCGCGTTGGAAGTCGACAATGTTCAGAATCACGACGTAGGATCGTACAGATGTAACGCAAGCGGCTACGGCCAATACAGACTGAGCAACAAAGCGGAATTAGGATTATTATCTAGTGACATCGGTAAGTCCTTTCGCTAATTGTGACCAATAAACGGGTTAAACGCGGGGGACGGTCAAGTTCACGGTGCGCTTCATTCGGTTGTACAGATGAGGGATCTAGCGCTCCAGTATTTATTGCACAACCGTTGCAACAAATAGCCACCGAAGGGTCTGACGTGACCCTGGAGTGCGCTGCCAACGGCTATCCGAAACCGACGATTCTTTGGCTCAAAGACGGCGTCGCTCTTGATTTGACGTCACTAGACTCTAGGTATGTTAATTAACTTGGAATGACGCGGTACGAATCTGAACGATGGCATTTATGAGAGGTATATTACTTGTTCAAGATATCGCAAAGTCGCAGCCTCTAGTCTCATGATCACGAATGCCCGAGAATCGGATCACGGTTCGTACCAGTGCCGCGCGGAGAACGAGGTCGAATCTCTGGATGCAGTCGCTGAATTAACCGTACAAGGTATATTTTCGGTGCACGTACGGTTTTCATTTGTTGCCCTGCTGTGATATTAAAATATGATCCTCGCTTCAATTTGCTTCTTCAATTTGATCCTCAGTTCCGCCGCGGTTTGTAAAGAAACCCGAGGATAAAGTGGCGAGCGAGAGTCAAGACCTAGAATTCGAATGCGAGATTTATGGAAAACCGGAACCGAAAGTTACCTGGCTGAAGAATGGCGAGCGTATCACGTTGAGCGCATACTGGCAAATTGTCAATGGGTGTGTGTTTAGAAAATGTCTAATACTTGGCTGACGAAATTCACGATTTTATCATTTCAAAATTTGCAATACTTCCGCTTCCAGATACAATCTGAGAATCAATGGACTGTTACCTATAGACGCAGGAATTTTCCAATGCATGGGGGTGAATCCTGCCGGTAGCGTTCAAGCCTCGGCGCGTCTCATAATTAACCAGCCCAGTGAGTTTCGCGAGATAAAATGTAGATAAAAACCTTTTCGAGCGCACATATTCTCTTTTCTTCATATTTATTGGTTGATAAATATCGTAGTTTTTTTAAATTTTGTTTACATCTTATTTATGTATACATATTTCAACATTATGTATCTATTTTTTTACGTTTATTTCTATTTGGAATTTTAATTTTGTCTTTATTTATTTCTTTCCCCCATGTGTTCCTCGTTAATTAACTGTTCTGCATGCTAACGTCACGTATGCAGAGAGCGCAAATTCCCACAGAACGACAACTCCCAAGACAGTTCCTAAGAAAAAATTACTACTACAACGGCAGTTGTATAATAAGACGTGGCAACATCCGAGTACTCTGCTAGGACACACGTTCTCGTCGCACATGCCGAGTCCTCCACTTTCAATAAGTCCCTCTGACGATCCCGCGGATCTTCTCCCGAGCTCGTTTAAGTATCCCAACTCCCTTTACGATCCGGAATCCCGTTTTATAGATGACACAGATACTCTGGAAGCGTTCGACGGGGGTGGCGTACCCTCTCCACCGAGGAACTTGAGCCTCGTCATCGTCACCGCGAGATTCGTCACGCTACGCTGGCAAGAGTCAGAAAACGCGAACAGCGATACTCTCAATTATTTCATACATTACAAACAGGAAGGGGCCATGAGGTAATTATTCTATGACGGTAACTGGGTGTGACCAGGCGACCAATCGTTTTCTATTTCGCGCAGGGAGAGAGTTGTCAACACGCAGCAGAAACTGGAGGCCATGATACGCGGTTTGCAGCCCAGTATGACGTACCAATTCCACGTGGTCGCGCAAAATCCTCGAGGAAGCAGTGCTCCTAGCGAAGTGTTACAAGTTACAACGTTAATAGAGGCCAACGTTCCCGGGCCCCCGATGAACCTGGAGGGTCATGCGACGAGCAGCATGAGTATTACTTTATCGTGGGAGGAGCCGCAAGTTATTAATGGACGAATATCCAAATATATTATTACATTTATGGAGGTATACAAACTTCTTCCTGCAGACAACTGATGTTAAGCAATGTCGAGCGTTACTAATTATTCCAATTTCGTTACGTTCTCAGGGCGATGGTGAAGAGGTAACGCGTGAAACTACTAGTACAACGTATGAATTGGTAGATCTCGTGCCTTATACGGAATACAGTATTAGAGTTCAAGCGGTCAACGAAAATGGCCCGGGCGCTTTTAGTAAGGATATCGTGATTCGGACTCACAGCGCACAACCGACCCAACCGCCGCATAACGTTACCTTAGAAGCAGCTAGTTCAACGGTAATACCACATCTGAGTACACATTACAGATAAGAGATTTATTATAGATAATTTAAATCGCGGCAGAGTACGGAGAAATCAAAGTGTTTCACTGAAATGTCTGTTTTCCAGAGTATTATCATAAGATGGGAACCCCCACTCGAGGGACAGAATGGGATAATCACAGGTTATAGAATACGGTACCGCAGATACCCGCACGATTCCCGATCCGGGGACCGGCGGTCCCCGATCTCGGTGACAACTGAAGGAAATCAACGTTTGTACGTGCTAAGCGGGCTCGAGAAGCACGTTGTGTACCAAGTCCGCATATGTGCCTTCAACGTCAATGGAACTGGGCCTTGGACGGAATGGACGAAGATAGAGACATACGAGAACGACTTGGACGAGACGAAAGTACCTAATGCGCCCAGTAATCTGAGAGGTGAGAATCTATAAGTGCAAAACATAGGATGGCATTTTAACTTGTTACAAATCTACCTCTTTATTACAGCGAATGCCATGGCGGATTCTATACTAGTATCGTGGCATCCCCCGAAGGATCAAAGCATCAAAGTGAGAAAATATAAGTTAGGCTGGGGCAAAGGCTACCCCGATGTCGAGATACAGGTTCTTGATGGGAAGCAACGATCTTATGCTATTAAGCCTATAGGTAAAAAATAATACACCGTTCGACTTTTGGTACAAAACGCTCGAAATATTTTGCAATTTAATTTTTATTAATCCTCCTGCTCTCTTCCGCTGTGATATTAGAACCAACAACGGAGTACGTGATATCTTTAAGAGCAACGAATAATGTTGGCGATGGTCAGCCAGCATACGCGAATGTAAGAACTCCCGAACGTTTTGTATCTGAATCCGCAGTGCCTTTAATACCACCCGTTGGCCTTAAAGCTATCGTGCTCTCGGCTTCTACCGTTGTACTGTATTGGACAGACACGACCTTATCGAAAAGTCAAGTACGTTTACGTTATGTACATATAATCGTACTGTATTATAAAACCTCATAAGATATGTGACGCGTGCAAAGGAAAGGTCAGGCAGAAGTATCTGTAGCGAGAGCATTTATTTTTAGTACATCACCGATAGTCGATACTACGTGGTGCGTTATACGTTCTATCATCATAGCAGCAGCCCGAGATACAAATATTACAATGCTACCGATCTCAACTGTATGATTCACGACTTGAAGCCCAATACACAGTACGAATTTACAGTTAAACTGGTCAAGGTACGAGACACACGGATTACGTACAGTTTAAAGAAATTCAGAAAGACAAATATCTTATAGTATAATTTCCACAGGGTAAACGAAGCTCGCCGTGGAGTATGGTCGTTCTAAATCAAACCCAGGAGGCTGCGCCTAGCACGGCACCTCGAGATCTCATCATTCAAACTGTCGAGGATCGTCCGACTTCCGTTCTACTGCGATGGCAGCCTCCCAAGCAATCTAATGGACAAGTCACAGGTTGGTAATACTAAATTTAATGAATGGAGTATGTTTACTAAGCCACGTAAATTTCTAGGATATCTCATAGTTTATTCCACTGACAACACGAGATGGGATCGCGATTGGCTGGTCGAAGGTGTCATTGGCGACAAGGTGGATGCTGTCGTAAAGGGCCTGCAGCCTAACATGATATATTATTTCAAGATCCAAGCTCGTAACTCCAAGGGGATGGGGCCGTTCTCCGCGACAGTCTCGTTTAAAACGCCACAAAGTAAATAATTGGATTTTTGTTTATTATGTCGATGTTGAATGACGTTAAATATGATTATGTTTATGCGGTTGCAATGTACGCGTACAGAATAGTGTCTGTATTAATTTAACTGTACACGATTGCGTAGCATTATGTGCCTCTATTGTTTCCTTTGTGTTGCATTCTGTTGCCCGTTCACAAATCACTGCGTTAATGTTACGTTTATTTTTTATTTCTATCGTAGGCAATGGCATGGATGATGAATTGCATGGTCGAGGTAAGACATTATCCCAATCGTCCTCTTCCTCTATCCCAATTGTGCATGTCTAAGCATGTTTTATTGTAAAATTTATCTCTTTAATAATCTCTTTAAATATTAAACAAGAAATCTTTTTTTTTTTAATATAGGATGATTGCAATCTTTTAGTAAAATATATTTCTTTTTCCAGATGGACGAAGCTTTTCTAATCTATTGATTTACATCATAGTGGGTCTCTCAATCGTCTTTATCACTGCCATATCGGTAGTGGTCGTAGTGTGCTGTAGACGTAATCCAAGCTCGCCAGATCGGAAGAAAGGGTATATCTTAGTAACGGAATTACATGTTGATACTTCGAGTCATAAAACGCAATGTGTCTATAATACATTTTTTAAATAATCCTTAGATACATGAAAGATACGAATCAGAAGACAAATATCAAGCCGCCGGATTTGTGGATTCATCACGATCAAATGGAGCTGAAAGCACTTGAAAAATCGTCGCTCAACGGCGAGGCCTCTACCAGCGGCGTCACCAGTAATACACTACCCAGATCGAGCAATCCAGAATACAATCAAGATAACATACATGGGAATTCTAGTTCACTGGATAAGCGTACTTATGTGCCAAGTTATATGGGTAAGTCACGTGACACGCGCAAGTCGGGGAAAACACTGTTGCACTATCAGACATCATAGAAAACATTCCATACCGCGAAACTAACAACAGTCCCGTTTGGTTGATTTGCGCAAGCAAGAATAACTTAGTCTCTTTGTTACCACACAATTTTGATAATTTTACTTTTAAATTAGGTATTTCAATTATTTCTATTTCTCACACGCACAATGCAGTTAAGAAAAAAAAACAGGAAGAGAAAGAGAGGGGGAGGGAAGGAGGATCTCATACGTTTGATTTGCAGTTTTTCTGATTTTGTTATTCGGTTGCCTTTTACTTATTTGCTATTAGGTAACACTGATGAGAAGTGCTCAACCCTGAGCAGGCAGCACAGTCGTGGAAGCCACAAACCTAAATTAATTACACTTCCCGTTGACAGTACACCTTTGCATCAGCGTAAGTAGTAGGGTTATCACTCGCTATTGCACACAATGTCTGTAATGCGTGGTCTACAATACGTGGAGTAAGCGTGGAGTAAGGAGTAAGGGAGAGCCCTAACTTCTAGCTTTTGGTGTAAGGAAGCTGAAATACAGGCATGATTGTTAAAATAATTGTAACACTGATTGATGGCATTTTGATTCACCGAGAGTAAACCTAAGAGCTGAAGTAGGAGTGAGAAATAAAATGGATTTATTTCCTTACTCCTACTCCTTACTCCAGCTTACTCCATGTATTGTAGACCAGCCTTAATAATGTAACACGTCTTTTTGCAAACGATTAAACTACTTACAGTATTATTTTACGTAAATATAAAGTAATATTTTACATAAGTACCGAAAAAGAGAGACCCAGATGACTTTAACTTAAACATATATTAGCAAGGCCATCCTCCTGAATAATATTCAAAAGGTTTTAGCTCAATATTTATTAAATTTGGGTCCTCTCTTCGATAAGATTATCTTATTTTACGACAAGGCAATCGTCCCACAAGTGATAAAATGCATAATTTGGATCAGCTATCACAGTTTCAATGTGGATATCAAAGTTTCTGACTTGTTGCAGCTATAGCTACGGCTACGCCGATTGTGAATAGCAGCATGTCGCAGCCGACGATCCACACCTCGTGCAGCGATACGTCGTCGGTGAGACAGAACTATCCGCGAACGGTCGCGCAATATAGCTTAAATCGCGCGCACGTCACGTTGGAGCCGACCCCGGAGTCCAGTCCGGATTCTTGCAATATGCCTAGCTCATACGAGCCTTTGCCGAGTCAGGTAGGATCTCGAGTACGTGCGCCGTGAACTGTTTAACAGCATGATGGCGAGAATTGTACGTTACTTTCTTATCTCTTTAGTTGTCGTATGGTACGAGCGGGCAGTCGTACAGTGGTAATACTCAGTACACTCCCGGCCATTACGGCAACAACACTCAACCGATGAACAGCACCGTTGGGGTGGAGAGCAATGCTAGCAAGCGTTTGCAAGGGCATCCTCTCAAGAGTTTCAGCGTGCCGGCTCCGCCGCCGCAGAGTGCCCCTTCGACACCGGCGCAACAGAAGCACGGTGGTTTGTATTGTGTTCATCAATTGCACCATTCAATATAAAATATCTAAAATATCGTACTGTTCAATCTATCTCTCCAACCTCTCGTCCCAAAAAAACCGAGAGACAGAATCATCATTCTCCATAGTTCGTTAAATGACATTAAAATACAGTTTTTATTTTTTAGCAAAATTTTGAAAAATTTGTAATGAAAGTTTAGCAAAGATAAAATTCGTTCTGATAATCTAGGATCTTTCTGCGATTGCAATGTGTTGGAAAAGTTTCCTTGTCAAACATTTGCAAAGATTTTCTTTTCTTTGGGTTTTTTTTTCTTCAAATGTATTATTAAGCTGTTGAATACTGACGATTACTATTTTCCGTAATTACAGTGTCACAAGTGACAGTAAGGCCAACAATATCTGGCAGTCCGTATAAAAAACCGCAAGGTTCGTCGTCGCAATTAGCGAAGAATCGCTTAGCCTCGGTGTCAAATCCGACACATACTTCGGAGGAAGTTGAACGGTTAAAGGTAAAAACCACAGGTTTACGTATCTAACATCCGCATATGTTAGATACAATACACGTTAACTCGTGTAATGCAATATAATGTCACTTTGTTTGCGCCCACTTTGCGCGATTGCGCCTTAATCGAATTAATTAAATGTTTGCAGCCTTCGTACAGCACCGAAGAATTGAATCAGGAAATGGCCAACTTAGAGGGTCTTATGAAAGATCTGAATGCCATAACAGCATCGGAATTTGAATGCTAAAGTAGGTTCCTAAGCCTTGTGCCATCTTAACTGATGGGTAGACTGCAACGCCACGATGTTAGTACCTGAGAGGTAAATTAAATTGTCACATTTTTGCCATTTACGCCGAATTTCTCCCCGATAAATAAGTACGATTACTATCGGGATCACGTATGGAAAACCAATATTGTATAGTTAATTAGCGTCGATGAACGGCGCAATTAATGCGTGACCCAGATGCTCGTTTTAATTGGGACACGGCGATCAACGGCCAATCGCCAAATCCGTTTCCTCTCTCCGGTACTACCGTTGCTCGTCTTGGATGTAAAACTCAATAATATACTTGCCAATGTGTAATCCGACAGCGTCGCGTTCGCGCGGCGTATTTTTGATAACGCGAGCAGGCAAGTGTGTCGCGACTGGCCGCTCGAGGGGACTCGACGGGCCCGCTTTCGTGTTATTCGACGTTACAATATAATCGCGTGTAAATGTGCTGGACGCGTGTACCGATCGGGACGTAAATTATCCAACACGACTTTTCGGCGTGTTTGTCTACGATGTGTGAAAGTCAATGTACAATAATGTAGTCAGGTCGCGCGAACGAGAAAACGTCGCGATTGTCTTTCTTCGTCATATTTTTTTTTCGTCATTTACACAAAGATCCCAGGGTGGTTTAACCGGACGACGCCCCTATTGTATGTGCTTTTATGCGCGTCGACCCCTAAGCAGTCTTGCCTAAAGGGAGAAGAAGAAAATCGCCTTGCTGTCCCAGCGAAAGAGCTCGTGCGTCGCTATACCGTATTCGCATAATTATATCCTTCGTCGACTCGCTAATGCCATATTTACGCTTGAAAAGACGGGGCACGCGTGAGCCGTTCGGTCAAGTAATTTACGGTCCAAGATGATATAGGCAGGAGAATAGAGTATTCATTCTATTTTTGTATCTATTATGATCGGTTCGCGACGAGCTTTATCGCGCACGTCTTACATTCGGGGGGGGGCTTCTCGCAAAGCTTGTTCGCATATTTCAATTTGTTCGGAAACCAGGTGAGCTTTTACATCCCGCGAGACCGATTTGACCGAGTTTTAGCTCGCACAATGTAGGCGCGGCACTCGGTTTCGCGCTCTGCTGGACCGTGAGATTTCTGTGATTTCCTTCCGGACGGCCTTCGTGAGATGTGCTTAGGTCACCCTGCGCGTGTGCTACTCGACGTCCCGAGGCAGCTCGTATTCAATGACGATTTCGTGCGCGTATCCTCTGTTGAAGCAATCACCTAATGTATACATTACGATCTCAATGGAAAATATTACTTTTTAGAGTTAATCGTTTACAGGCGAATAATTGTGGGTATTATACGATAGGCTGTTTAGCGTAACAAGGCCGACGGTCGACTCTTAAAAATCGCGGTCGCGGAAAAATTACCGGCGGTTCCGCGGGATTTAGCGGCCGATCCGTCTCTCGCTCTGTGCTTCAGAATTCGTACGTTTTGTCGCGAGCGATTAAACGAAATTGCGTTATTCGACGAACACGGTCCGTTTGGGCGAAGTAAGTTTTATTCCTCCCCCTCCCTCCCTTCCCGCGTGTCGCCCTTACGAGTTGAAGTATTATCGATGAAAGAAAGGAAAAAAATGTTGTATACAAATATTTTTAGTGGGATATATATGCATACCTAGTATGTGGATTTTTGTATTTTACCTACTCGGATACGCGATCGGGAACGGCTTAGGAGAAATTTTATAAACTTATAAACGCAATGCTCAAGTCCGGCGTTGAGAATCGTCGAGGTAATATGTAACGTATATGGTCCATATTTCTATCCAGATACACATTTTATATAAGCCATTTTACTGCCAATTGATTAATGCATATCTATTAAGGTACATACGTGTGTACGTTTCCTTCCAATCGCTAGAGACACTTCGAAACATTAAACGGGACGCGCTCCCGAATTCCAATTCGGATCCAAATGGGATACAACGATTGTCGTTGCCGCCGCGAACTAATAATATGTGCTTGTAGAATTTCGAATCGTACTCGACCACTTTTGTATTTTCATAGCGTTCGAGGTGTTGTACAAAGATCTTGTATATTAAGGACGTTGTACGGCGGCGCGAGCTGAGAATCCTAGTAGCACAGTGCGTTGGCTGAACATTGGTCCAATAAAATCAAATATTGCCCATAAAATCAAATATTGCAATGTTTAACCAATGTTTGGTCAACGCACTGTGCTACTAGGGAAGGACTCGAGTGATGTACATCAAGCTCCCTCGTCTTCTCTTCCTTCGAAAGGAAATAAGAGAGAAATTAAGCACCGAAATTTGCATTAAATTAAGAGAAGTGCGCGCAATTCTCGGTGCTACAATTATATACCGGCTCTTTAAAAAAAATATATATATCACTCGATTCCCAAGCAATTCGCGTCACACGAATCCCGATGTAGCACGATTTCCGGATGCACCGCGATAGTAAGGGGTGATAATCTCTTAGCATGTTAGGCGCTGCCAATTTTTGCGACGGGCTCCTCGCGGATTCGGAGCTTCCCCAGCGCGACAGGGAGAACCAATTTTCGCATCGTGATGCGGAGTTTTGCGTATTATTTGCGACCGTGCGTGCGCAAACGCGGCGAACGAGCGAGAGTCTCTCCGCGGTCGACGGGAACGGGATTACCAGCGTACGATCCTACCGGGCTCCGTTCGCCAAGCGCTACATTTTAATTTTTTTTTAAGTATACAAGTTAACTTGTAAAAGAGAATGCGTTATTGAGTGAACGCGCGATACGTTTTTCTCGGAGAGACGCCGAACGTTTTGCACTTCGTTCTTGGTACTTTTTTTTCTTGTTTTTTTGACGATGTCGAGCTTTGCGCAAGCTTTTGCAATCGCGAGAGGAGCATGCGAGCTATACCGATAAAGAGAACAGCTTGTACATTAAGTATATATAATATATATATATATATAAAAGTTGTATCTATATTGCGCTGTTGAGAGGAAAACAAAAAGCGTCAAAGCGTACTTTTTAATTGAAAGACAAGCCTACACGGAGGGCCTGCGAGAATATTTTACCACAAAAGTATAATTAGCGTATAGTTACGTAGATAGCGTACATATTTATCTTTATAAGATTAATATTATTTATTGATTCTTTTTTTACATGTTCGCGCGCGCGCCAATATTTCCGGATACAGACGAATTACGCGAGACATTAGAGGCTGGCTTTTGCATTCGACCGTCGCGTCGCGATGAAATACACCTCCGATTCTCATTACTCATCAACGAATCGATCATCCGCATCTGCATTTATAAATTAGTTAGGTAAATCAATTATCTAGATTAGCGTTCAAACGTAAATTCGACGGTATAATCGCGTTGAGGAAACGACCGGCTTATCGATGTACATAAATATAAAAGAAACAACACCGCCACTTTATATAAGAGATGATCAAGTATTTATATATATTATATATATATATTACAATTGAATATAATTCTTATATTTGTACGATATACGATATAAGAAAGCCCGCCCCGCGAGACGAAACATTCATAACAAGTGTGTGATAATATTTGTAAAACTTGATATTCAATAAACAATTTTATGTTCTTTACAAAATTACGTCTCGCGTGGAACGGAAACGGAGACTTGCCCGGTAACCAGCCTCATATTTATGAAACAGCAAGAAATTTCTTTAATTTAGAGTTCTAGTTTAATTCCCGTTGTGCTGTTCCCATCCGCCTACTGACCTGTATTTTATTTGTTATTTTACTGTTATATTTTATGCACGCACACACGAGGAATAGATTTGCTCGGGAAAATATGACCGATGTAATATCGGAAATGATTAGAGATGCGTTTGCGTTTTCCGGCGATGAACTTAAATATTATCGGAAGAATTAAACAACATTTTTGTAACACGATTCCAACGTGGTATTAATAGTATTTCGATGACAATATGTAAAATATTGTGATTATTTTTATACGTGTGTTAATTTGAGAGAAAGATTGACACGCGTGTGTAAAAATAGGACTAACGTGATTGCATAGATACATATTCGTATGCATTAATCAAATTTTGAACTTACCTTGTTACAATATTTAAATATTCAACAAACTGCAATACATGCTACACAATACATTTTACATAAAATGCATAAAGTTTGAAAAATATGAATATAAATGTTGGAGAGAAAAATTATACATCTGTATACTCAACATATTTTGTTGAGTTAACCGAGAAAAAAATAGTTATTTATAATTTATCGATCTAATGCGTTCCGAGATCTGTGCTGATTCGCAATCACGCCATTCATATCCACTTTATTATGGATCTAACAATAAGAACTACGTTTCATACATTGTTTGAAATTAAAAAATGCTATTTGGTACTTAATCCGTGCTACACTCGCAATTGAGGGGTCGCTCTCAGGCTTTGTCCTAATGAAAGAAACGTTTGTCCTTAGTTTATATCCCAGTAGAGTTCTCGAAAAGATCGATCAAATGGACTTTTCACATTTAAAAAACTTAGTAATCGTATAATAAAAATGTAATAAGGAATTAATATTCCCCAATAACAGCAACAAACTGTACCCAAAGATTGTTTGAAGCCGCGATAATTGGCGCCAATAATTGAATTTACAGTGCGACCCGCGGCCTAGGGACACCTCGGCGTCTAGGGACATTTCCGGTCCCCCGCCGAGGACTCTCGCTCTTCGCCCCATCGTCGGCAGATAGCATTAGTGATCGGTTTAGCAGTTTCAAAAAAGCACAGGACAACAATACTCGCGGGACTGTGCGCGATGAGAATTGTCGAAATGGTGAAGCTGCGGCGTGGGCGTACGCGGAGCTAGGTGAGTAGTGTTATCGCGCATTCCCTGACTCGTGATAGCGTTATCGGGGGAAGGACGAGGCCGCGGGACGGTGCGTGGCGTCGCGCTCTCGTAACTCTTTCCTTTCCGCGAATCTCGTCTCCGCCTCGTCCGAGGAGGAAACGCTGCGGGTCGCTCTCGCGCTGGGAGACCGTCTCGCGCGGTCGTCTTCTCCCCGGACGGATTGCGTCGCCCGACGAGACGAAGCCCCGGTGACGATCGTCCCGTTCTCGCCGAACGACGTTCCGTTCCGTTCCGTTCGATCCCGTCACGTCGCGGTGTCTCGGCAGGTGCATCATAACCTCTTTCTCCGGCGCGAGACGTGCGCGAGGTTCCCGAATCCGTTTCGCGATGCACGGACGGACGAGCGGATAAACACGCGCGCTCTCGCGGGTGCACGTACCGTCCCGGCTCGTCATTGTCGTCGTCGTCGTCGTGGCTGTCGTGATCATTGAGCCAAGCACGACAGGTGTATGTGGAGTGCGCTCAGCACACGCACCAGTCGCTCTCGGTTCGACCGATCTTTGTTTTGGCCGCCGAGCGACGCGCGAGTCCGCTCCCGTCCTCATTTTCGAAACGACCATTTCTCCCGATTTGTCTCACGATTTTGAGCGTTCGGAGCGATAGTGTAGCGTTGGAGAATGGAAACGAGAAGCTACGGAATAATACGCGAAGCTAGCGGATTCGCGTAGAGGTTCCGCGATTGCGATCCGATTGCCGTGACGTAAAGAGCGTCGGAGGTAGAGATCGGCTCGTATCGTTTCTTCCAAGAGAGAACTGTTGCGTGGACGTTGGTCGATCGTGCCAAGCTGCGAGATTCCGAATTATACACGTACATTGATTCTATGAGACGAAAGACACAAATTTATCTGTATATCTGTAATAACGTGCATTCCCGATTGAATGTACGATCGTTGAGCAATGAGATCTGTCGGGGATGCGAGCGCCGCGGTCAGTGTACGATCGGCACGGCGTAAAACTCGTAATGACATCGCGATGACGCCATCATGCTTATTCGTCAATTAAAAATCACTTGAACCCTTTGGCCGTAGCGAGATTGATCGCGAGGCTGGTATTACATTTGTCGTACGACAA